GGCTGCTATAGCTAATTTATGTATTGGAGATATAATTACAGCCATCGATGGGGAAAATACCAGCAACATGACGCACTTGGAAGCTCAGAACAAAATCAAGGGCTGTGTAGACAACATGACTCTCACAGTATCCAGGTAAGGCTCGGGGAAACACCCATTCTTTTCGGATCCTCTGGAAGCTGCTTGTGGCAAGGACGGCCTCTCCCATCTCAGAGTCCCTTACACCCCAGTGTAGTCCATGTATCGATAGGCAGGTCAGAAGGTCTGTGCAATTGCCCTAGCCAGTTTGGCTCAGTGGATAGAGCGTCGGCCTGCAGACTGAAGGGTCCCGGGTTTGATTCCAGTCGAGGGCACGTACCTTGGTTGCAGGCTCCTTCCTGGTCCTGGTTGGGGTTCGTGCAGTAGGCAACCAATCAATGTGTTTCTCTCACATCGATATTTCTCTCTTTCCTCCTCTCTTCCACTCTCTCTAAAAATCAATGGAAAAATATCCTTGGGTGAGGATTAAAAAATAATAATAATTACAAAGGTCCGTGGAATTGGAATTTCAGTTGCTTATTTCCCCTCTAATTGTCGTAGTGCTTCTTATATTGTGGGCGTCTTTCTGCATTTTTTGTTGTTGTTAATCCTCACCTGAGGACGTAATTCCATTGATTTTTAGGGAGAATGGAAGAGAGAGAGGGAAAGACAGAGAGAAACATGGATGTGAGAGGAACATATCGATTGGTTGCCTCCTGCACGAGCCCAGACCAGGGCCTGCGCTGGGGAGGAGCCTGCAATCAAGATACGTGCCCTCAACTGGAATCAAACCTGGACCCTTTGGTCTGCAGGCCGACGCTCTATCCACTGGGCCAAACTAGCTAGGGCTCTGCATTTTTACTTGATCCAGTACCACTTTCAGGAAGTAAGATCATTAACTATTGCTAGGTATAATGAAATGAAAACTCCCTGGAAACCATTGAGAATCTGCTCAGGATGTGGCTCCTGCCACACCAGGCTGAGCAGTGGGTACTACGCCAGGAGATTACAGTGACAGGGAAAGATAGCAACCCGCTAGGCAGAGCACTGAGTGTGTGTTCAGGGACACAGCAAGAAAGGAGAGCTGACTGTTCTCAGAGGCTGGTGAGTAGGGAGTGTGCACCGGGAGTGGTGATTGGGGTAGAATTCCTGTTCTTTTGTTGAGTCTTGGAAGGAAAAAGCATGATTTCAGAAGCGATTTGATTCAACCTTGATGGCTCCATATTTCCTGTTGGATCAAGTTCCCATTCTTCATTCTGATTTGTTATGTTAACCTGCTCTTTATTGTCTCATTAACCTTAGCTCTTCATCACGAACCCTTTGCTCAGGCTCTCATCTGTGAATAGGTTTTTGGCTTTCTTCTACCTGGCACCACAAGACTGGTGGGAGGACCAAGTGCGGGGCAGGATAGCTAAAATTATGTACACGTCAGTGCCCTATCCTCATGGGAGATACACATTTTATGACTACCCCCTCAAAAGTTCATTTACCCCCTCATTCTCTTTTCCATTTCTCCCTCAGTCCAAATCTTCTCCTTCAAGCCTTAGTTTGACATTCACTCACTTATTTATTAACTAGGGGCCCAGTGCACGAATTTGTGCACCTTGAAAGGAACTGTGGGCTGCGAGGCTGCGGTGGGCACAGGGGCAGGTCTCAGCCCATCCTCTGTGCCCCTGCCCTGCCCTTCCCACTGCTGCTGCTCCCATGCACTGATGGTGCCAGCCTTGCTCGCACCCACTGATGGTGCAGAGCAATTGGGGCTGGTGCCAGCAGTGGGTGTGAGCTGGGCTGGCGCTGTTACTGGGTGCGAGCAGTGGCTGCTGCCCTGATTGCCCCTCAGGAGCAGGGGGAGGTGGAGAAGCCCTGAGGGGCGATCGGTGCCGGCAGCCGCTGCTTGCACCCACTGACAGTGATTGGGGCTGGTGCGAGCAGGACCGCTGCCAGCAGCAGGTGCGAGTGTCTGGTGGGACAGCAGCGCACAGGAGCAAAGAGTTTTCAGTAACCACCAGAGGCTTGTCCCGATACCGGCACCCCGCCTTGGTCTGGTGCCCCTGCTCACCTGCTCCACCATTCCGCCGCGTTCAATGCCCACCATGTTTTGTGTGTGCCCCCTGGTGGTCAGCGCATGTCATAGCAACCGGTTCAGTTGTTCCGCCGTTCGGTCTATTTGCATATTAGGGTTTTATATATATAGATAGTTTAATTGATTTTTGACCCATTTACCAACCAATTGAAACAGAATTTCTCTGCTTGAGTAAAATCTTTGTACTGTGCTAGGCACTCTGACAGTACAAAGATAGGTAAAATATTCTCTCCCCATAAGAGAGAAAAAAACCTACACTAATGAAAAATGAGACCAGACTGAGATTGCAATTGGTACAAAGAAATCCTTTGCAAACTCAATAAAGGAGGCATCGCTTTTACAGTGGGGCCTTGACTTACGAGTATCCCGACTAACGAGTTTTTTGAGATACCAGCTGTCTCTCGACAGATTTTTTTTTGCTTTGAGTTGACAGAGTAATTTGAGTTAACGAGCTCCTTAACGAGCTCGGTCTCGGAACGAATTAAACTTGTAAGTCAAGGCCCCACTGTATTGGGCCCAGACAAGCTTCAGGAATAAGTTGGTTATCAGGTTGGATCGAGAACACTGGGAGAGAGAAAGGAGATGCTCGTTCTGTTCTGAGCAGAGGTGGGCAGCATGAGGCATGCTCAGGAGCAAGGAGGCGGTCAGTGTGGCCGAGGGACAGCGAGACAGAGGGTAGTGAGGGAGGTCGAGTCTCACAAAGTCCCAGCAGCTGGAAAGCCCCTCAGGGCTGAGCGTGGGCAGCTATCAGACACGATGGAATCAGACTTGGTGCTTTCGAAAGATCACCCTGGTGGCTACGTGGAGGGGAGGGCGGGTGGCGTGTGCTGGTTCAGAGCCTAGGAGTCAGGCAGGAGGGCGCATTTTCCCATCCTGCTTTTGGTGCGTGTTATTTATTTAGCGTGCATGAAAGAACAGCTTTGTCCATCTCCTGCAGATCTGAACATAAAGTCTGGTCTCCTCTCGTGACAGAGGAAGGGAAACGTCATCCGTACAAGATGAACTTAGCCTCTGAACCCCAAGTAAGTACTTGTCCTCCACTGCCACTCCTCGCACGACCCAGCAAGACGACGCCCGTGCTTTCCTGCCTGGGAGGCCCGGAGATCAGGCGGCAGGGAGAGCCCTCCACTGTCCGTGCTGGGTCCTGGCTCCGGTTCAGCTCTTCCCGTAAGGGAACTGCAGGAGGAAAGGGCTGGAAAACCCCAAGGCTGTGACACTGGCCTGGGCTGGAAGCTGGGGGTAGGAAGGTGTGACGGGAAGCGGGTGGAAGCCTTCCTGTGCAGAATGGGGTGGCGGGACCATGGGAGAGCAAGGAGCTGACTCAACTCATTATGGACGTCAGAGACAAGTGAATTATGCCAGGATGAAAGTAAGTTTCAGTCTCGAGGCCTGGACGCTAGAGGAGCTAAGGGGAAGGTTTGTAGTAAGCTCTGCTTCTCTCCTGGTTCCCCACTGTCTAATTTCCATGATCCTTAGGGTGCAAGGTCTCTCTTTTTGTTACAGTGAGACTTCTAGTGAGACCTTAAAATTACTAAAATGAAGTGGTAATTCGCAGTGAAAATTGTGGTAGGGAGTTAATGCACAGTGTGAATTTCCTGGGAAAGTAGACTGTCCCACCCAGCTGGCGTGGCTCAGTGGTTGAGCATCGACCTATGAACCAGGAGGCCACGGTTGGATTCCTGGTCAGGGCACATGCCTGGGTTGCAGGCTCGATTCCCAGTGTGCAGGAAGCTGCTGATCAATGATTCTATTCTCTCTCATCATTGATGTTTCTCTCTTTACCTCTCCCTTCCTTTAATCAGTAAAAACATATTTAAAAAAAGAAAGTAGACTGTCCTAGGATCCCATATTTATAAATAATTCTCAGTATTTAGAGCAGGTGTCTTCACACTTTTTAAACAGGGGGCCAGCTCACTGTTCCTCAGACCGTTGGGAGGGCCGGACTATAGTTTTTAAAAAAAAACCTGTGAACAAGTTCCTCTGCACACTGCACATATCTTATTTTGAAGTAAAAAAACAAAACGGGAACAAATACAATGTTTGTATTTGCATGTGGCCCGTGGGCCGTAGTTTGAGGACCCCTGATTTAGAGTATAGGTGATTTATTACTTCCTTAATTACATCTTCTTTTAGACTAGTTTGTGATTGTTATCAATTTAATCCCAATTGAAGATTTGAACTTTATTTATTTTTTTTAAATTTGGGGTGCTAATTTTTATGGTGAATTGAGATATAATAAAAAAAGATAATGTAGCCCTAACTGGTTTGGCTCAGTGGATAGAGCGTCGGCCTGCGGACTGAAAGGTCCCAGGTTCGGTTCCAGTCAAGGGCATGTACCTTGGTTGCGGGCACATCCCCAGTGGGAGGTGTGCAGGAGGCAGCTGGTCGATGCTTTTCTCTCATCGATGTTTCTAGCTCTCTATCTCTCTCCTTTCCTCTCTGTAAAAAATCAATAAAATATATATATTTTTTAAAAAAATAAAAAGAAAAGAAACACTATTTGATTACAATAATCCCTTAAAAAAAAAATGATAATGTAGCTAGCTAGCTTTCATACATGAACCAGGAACTTGTATGAAATTGAACTCCCTGGGTGCATTAGCGTGGGTAAATGGAGTGGTTGCATGTCCGCAATATTGTCTCAAAAGGCTTCCATTTAAAATGTCAGAAATCGAATCACAAAACTTTCCCTATTAATATGATAAAAATCATACTTACCAGTCCTCTAAGAGTCACAGTAAGGATCACTTTGCATCTGAGATTTCTAAACGGACAGGAACCTGCTGCTCTGTGCAGCTCCTGTGAGGGCAGCTCATGGCGTGGGCTCCGCCTGCGAACTGGCAGTTGTGCAAACTAATTGAAAACACGCCACAGTTCATTCCAGCCACCCAGGGAGTTCCAGCCACTTCATTAAACTCACTGTAAATGTTACGCTTTAATGTGTTAAATCTCATACATTTTATAAGGCAGAAGGAATGATTTTGTTTTAATCTGGTCTGTCTAAAATCCTAGTTTTCATTTAGAGTAATACTTAAATTTCAGTTGTATTTTGGTATGTATTATACTTGAATTTGCATTTTAAACATATAATCTGGTTACCTGTATTCATTTTTAAAATATTTATTTATCTATTTATTTGAGAGAGAGAGACATCAGCTTGTTGTTCCACCTGCCCATGCGTTCATTGGTTGCCTCTTGTAACCTGACCGGGGATTGATCCCGCAGCCTTGGGGTATCCGGATGACACGCTAACCAACTGAGCTACCCCGTCAGGGTTGTATTAAATATTTTGAAGGTAGTTCTCATCAGATTAAAAAAATTTTCAAATACTTTAACTTCTAACTTGAGTATATTTTTCTTCTGATTCTAGTAATTTTTTGTTCATAGGAAAAATTTCCCATTTTTCATTTTTTTCATTCTCTGCTTCCATTCGTTCTACAATAGAGGAGTGAGTAGGAGCAGAGTTCACCTATAGTTAAAAGATCTGTTAGTTCATATAAAGCCAGCCAACACCCCAGCTTATCTGAGGTCAGAGCAGTTACACACCTACTTTATATTTCCTCATTATTGAGTTTCCTAGACAACTGATAAATACAAAGCCCAAACAATTACATCATCCCTTCCAAAAGGCAGGCCCTGAATTAACTGCCTGACTTCTGCAAAGACCAGTATTCACATGGGGTTACTACAGATACTCCTTTTATATACAAAACAGATATATTCTTGGAAGATTCACTCTAAAGGGAAAACCAGAGTTTCCAACCTGCATTTTCTACCGACTTCCATTCGAATGGAAGATGTATTTCTATGGGGGGGGGGGGGGGGCG